CTCTATTATGCAAATAAGGAAACCGGGGCCAAAGAGAGTCTTACCTGGTAATTCGGTACCACAGATGAGGCTAGAACCAGAAATGCCTGATTTGCCTGTTGGTCTTCTTGGTAGATTCATCCAATGACTTTTGTGTGATTTCTAATGACAAATATGAGAGGTTTCATGAAGTCACAGAGTAATATGAGACAGACCTTTTCAAAGGGGTTTAAAAACAAAAACCCAAAATCCACATGGGATCATTTCCACCATCAGCCACTAGGCAGCTGTCACGATTCTCGAGTTGGGTAGAGTCTTTTATCAAGCTATATAAAAGTTCCATATCCAATTACCAATCATCATCACCCAAGTCCTGGCTTGGCACTGCTCAACAAAATGATACACTTACAATGCCAAAGCAAAGGGATTGCATAAATGATTTAGTTGGAGCTTCTTTAATCTTATACAAGAGAAGCTGACAGTTATCCTAATTAATATTTTGCTCACTCAGTACAGTCATGTAACAACAATCTCCTATTGAATTTCCTACATTGAATATGAAAGGGTACAAGACTTTTAAAGAATGTATGTCTATGGACACCCAACTACGTGGACACCCCCTCATTCCCCAAAATAATTCACTTCAAAGGACAGCACTGAAGCTACAGCTCAGGGAGAGGGGCACTTTTGATCAGAGCACATAGGAGCAAATGAAGGGGGAGGGGTGAGAATGGAACACATCCTGGCCCACCAATCCCTGAGGACAGTATTCCTGCTCAGAGCAGCCAATGCACAGAGAGGACCATAGAGCCAGTCCCACCACGAGATACAGATGCAAGGTCCTTCACTGACCCATAGCGCTACAGGAGACAACACTGGAGATACAGTGCGGGAATTATGCTAGATCTGACCTCAACACACCGGGGTGGAACACCAAGTGTGTGCAACAGAGCAGCAAGGGGAGCAAAGCAATGAAGTCCCCGAGGAATACTAACAATAGACTTTGGGGCCAGGGCATGGATCCCCATGAGACTAGACCAGAGATCAGCAAACAGACCTGGAAATATTTATAGGCTCTTCTTTTTTTG